AAAAACATAGCAAGTCCAATTTAGACAGAAATCAGGAGACAGCAGCAGCCACAAGGCAGCCTCTCCACCTACAGGACTAGAAATTTGAAGAGGTGCACCCACCATGACTTTAGTCTGTGTATGGAATGCCAAGTAGCATATCTTCATACTTAAGTTTAATAGACTGCTGAGATACTCGAGATATGTACTCTATACATCATTCATAGTCATGTTATGAATATCATTACTTGTATGTGCCTATGTATATATATATTTATATACATATCTTGGATTGGATTATTAATCCAAACATTAACACACATTTAAAATGATCAGTTTTTTCCCTTCATCAGTATAACTTCTAATGCAGTGTGAAAAAAATAAATAAATTGTCAGTCTGATAAAAGCCTCCAAAACACAAATTGAGCTGAATATGTTGAACAAATGTCAATGTAACTTACTGTATTTGTAGCATTTATGTAATGTTAAAGGTTTTAGATCAAGAAAAAGAACGCACCCTGCAATAAATAAAAACAGTCTGATTCTTCTATTAAAACTTAGCAAAAGATCAAAACTTTATTTAAAACCCTCAAGGATACAAAGAGCTGAATAATTAGAGGAGAAGATGAAGGCAATGTTTTAATAGTCTGCTTGATAGGTCAGGTCATCACGCAGTAACTGGCAGGAGGTATGGAAATGAGAGAGGGTGGGTAGAGACAGCAGAAGAAGAATTGATAGTGCAGCATATCTCCTTCTCTTTCCTTCCCCCTGGAGCTGCAATGGGACACAGGCCAAAGATTCCTGCAAAACTACGTTGATTTTTACCCATTTTTCTCTCTAATCCACTTTAGCTGGAGCACCAGTGAGTGAACGTGTGAGGGGAAGCAATGAGCAGAGTAGCAGTACCTCGATGCTGCTCTGGTGTTTAAGACATTTATACAGGATGAGTAAATTAATCTCTTTCTTTGATGGGTTTCACCTTAAGCTGGTTTGAACACTGGTTAAAAAATATACTTTTCTTTTAGAATAAAATCATTTCCTTATTATGAGCAGTGCAAGTGTAATCATTGCTAACGATTATGTTTTTGGAGTATGATTTATTATTACACTAACTTAAATGCTTTGTCTTTAGCTAGAGGAAGATTTTCATTAACCCTAACCAAACTGCCAATATGTATAAAAAAATGTAATAGGTGATCTAGGTCAGAAAAGAAGCAACTATTTTTTATTTATTTTTTTTTTATGGAGGTCAACGTTGCAATTCAAACTGATATTAGTTGATCCTTTAAACTTTCACATACATTTGACAGATGTGAACACAGTTTAATTCCTGATAGCTCTAATGACTAAATCAATGACCTTTGTTCCCTAATTTTTATCTTTACAATGTTGGGATCACTCTCAAATCAGCAATGATCACTAAGATTGGCAACAGGGGAGGATATTTAGAATAGTAAAAGCCCATCTAAGTACCAGAAATTAACCTTGTACTATAATCTATTAATTGTAAACGCCAAGGCAGTCAATTGTGGTTCTACACACTGACTTGCCTCAGAGGTTGTTTTTTTTTTTTTTTTTTTTTTGTTAATCTGAGTAAAAAAGAAAAAAAAAACACTCTTATAACTTAACTTTAATTTAAGACCAACAAGACTGATATAAATCAGTCTGATAATATTTTTATAATGTTCAGGTACCTCACCTAGTCGTATTAACAAGTTAGATTTAATTTTGTTAACTTTAAATTGGTTCTGACATTTGATTCAAGTACTTTAAAGCCCTGGATAACATACTTGCATGGCTAAAGTACTGAATGGATAAAGTTATTATAAGCTGATGAGTTTTAGCAAATAATAGAATAGCTCTTAAGTAAAACGTTAACATTTATTTCTAAGCTAGTAAGCCATTGTTAGGAGAACTTTGCTTTTAAAGTTATGTATAAAGGGGTACAAGTCTTGGAAAAAAAATCTCCACTGTAGCTTCCCTTGTCATGGATTCCTCTCAAAGAGAATCCCACAATTCATTAGTTAGAAATAGAATATCATAGAAGAGACAATTGTCAATTATATATATTTAAGACCAAAAATTCAAAATTTGGTTGCATATCAGAGGTATTAAAGAAGAACACACTACACAAAATAAACTGTATCATTAAATACCCTATTTCTCTGAATATGTCTTCTATCATAAACATTTGCTAAAAAATTACAACCCTTTTATTGAACAAATAAATTTTAATCAACTCTTTATTTGCATCTGTGTAGAATAATAATAATATATATATATATATATATATATATATATATATATATATATATATATATATATGTGTGTGTGTGTGTGTGTGTGTGTGTGTGTGTGTGTGTGTGTGTGTGTGTGTGTGTGTGTGTGGGTGTGTGTGTACTTTTTTCACTACATGTACATCACATGTCTGCTATTACAGAAGGTAAGGTAAGGTGCACATAAATCAAATAAAAAAATAATACTAATCTGGTAATAAAAACATTGCAATGAGTCCAGTTTCCTGCAGCAGCCTTGTTATAATAGTTGTGATTCTCATACAGAGATAACAAAATTATCTGCAGAAACCTGCTTTATGAATACTTTCTGCTGTAATCCTATTTTTTCCCACTTATTTACATTACTTCTCTGATATTTCAAAAGAAGGACTCATGAATAGAGTAGAAAATAATGCTGATTGGGTAATAAAATCATTGCAATGACACACCCTCTCCTCACTGTAACTACCGTATGTGTAACTGATTTAGGTTCCTTTTTTTAAGCATTACATTATCAACACTTTACTAATACACAGTGTATTAGCGGAACAATATATACTTTTTTCTGGCTATTTTTGTTGTATAGTTGGCCGAAAGTGTCTTGTAAAGATAAAAAAAAAATACAAAACATTTAATTTTCTGTTAGGTTAATTGATATTATGCTATGTATGTATGTGGTAAATTTTAATAAAACACATTGAAATCTTTAAAAAAAAAACACTTATTTGAATGCAGAAGTAGCAATACCATGGATATCAGCACTTTTACTAGACCAGATTCCTTTTTATTAGGAGAATAAAATCTATGTGGAACGTTTTGGACACTTTTAGCACATCTGTGCCAAATCACAGGTCCGTCTGCCACACTGTCCACTAAAACCTTAGGGGAACAAAATGCTTCAACCCATTTAGTAAAAATTTGCTCCGGTTATTGTCAAGATATGGTTCCATACATTCTGAGGCTTATGCAGAGATTTCAAAGGGGTTTTCATGGTTTTTTGAAGTGTTTATTTTTGAAACGAATATGGCAAGGCTTGAAAATTATGATTTTTGCCATTGCTCACCTATTAATCAGAAATAATGATGCTTTCAATAGTGTTTCTGTAAAATACTATTTAATGACTTCATATCATGAATTTTTTTTACATCTCAACCTTATACCTCTGGAGCTATGCTCGATTTAATCAGATAAGTAATTTCAGGCAGAAATTGCTCCTAAAACCATCTGGGCTTAAGGGGTTAAGAAAGGTGAAACTCTCTGCCTTTCTTCAGAGGTCGAACAGTAGGAGAAGAGCTTTATTTCAAACCAGTTCTGTGTACAGGCATGATCCCAACTAAATTGATTCGGTATTGTTTCAGAACCTTTATCTTCTCAAGGGTACATGTCCTGAGAGTGGCTGCATTGCACACAGCATGTGAAAAGGACCAGGGTTTCTTCTCTTACTGGATACCTGAACAGCACTAAATCCTTACACATGATGTTGTGTTATGCAACAAAGGATTTCATGTCAGTGATTGCAAATACAACAATAACAACAAAGTAATGGATTTCAGTTTGCTGCAATAAGAAATCCTCTGCCCCTTGTAACGGTGCTTTCAGGTCAGCCTGCACGAGTCTAAAAGGACGTGCTCAGCCTCTGATGCTCACAGGAGTGGCCAAGTGAGAAGCTCGGAAAAAGCCAAACTAAAATCAATTTTAACCAAAAAGTCCTATTTAGTTTCTACTCTAACTGAAAACTGTATCATGCAGGCACAGGCACAGCTTTTATATGCATTCATCCACATCTTCAAGCAAAGAATCGCACAAGTATTAAGACGCAGCGGTGCAACTTAAAGTCCACTTTTTTTCATTCCTTGGAGCAAAAAGTCACGTCTGGGCTGAGGTGATAAGTGTGCTCTTTGATATCCAGCAAAATACACATAAGCAAACACAAAGAGACAGAGTCTCATAGAAAGTACTCCCCATTCAGACACCCAAAAATAAAATCAGTAAAAGTAATTTTGCTGAAGCTTTTATGTGGAGAACACCTCTCAGACACAGCCGCCCCCATAATATAATCAAACTTTCCAATATTAAATGAAGGGTGAATATTTCTGAGCTCTGAGAGGGGGCAGATATAGCAAACAGATGCATGCTCATTCAGGGAGGCAACGCTTCCCCTATTTAATAGATGAAATCTCCCAATAACTGGTTCCCCATCAAGATTAAAGCCTTTTTGCTTGAGTACAGAAAAACACATTTAGTGTCTGAATATATAATTATAGGCCGAATGATTCCAACCAAAGTTTTTATTTTATTTTCCTCTGCCATAAAAAAAGGATGTACATGCTTTACTCAGAGGATTCATTGTTTCCATGACCTCCATCACCACTGGATTTTAGGGACTGAGTCAGTGTCTTACTTTTGTTAAATGATGCGTTTCTTCAATTTAAAAAGTGCATATTTTTAAACCACTGTACCATCTGTTGAAAAATTTTTGAATACCGGTACAAGTATTTAATGCCTGCTTAATTCCATATATATATATAAGGCCTTTGCAATGTAATCATGGTGCTTCAGCTTTTTATTTTATTTTTAGTCACATTATAGTGATAAATTTCAACATATCGAATGGACGATTTGTTAGAGCAGTAACAAATAGTGAAGTGGAAGGGACATGGTGATGTTTAGAATAATATATAGTTAAAAAATGACTTGCATACTGTGTCAATGTGTGTTTGTGCAGGTTTCATATGTTTAACTCACAAGTTTCTTCCTCTTATCTTGCTCAGTTGGTGGCTCCTCTTCATCACTTAGCTTGGGCTCTTCAAAATGGATCATCAACATGCAGCTGCCGACACAATAATATTCAACTCAATATTAATAACCACCCATAGACCTGCACAGTGGGAAGGAGTCTCAGAGCAAGCAGCGTGTGCAAACACAGGCACGCAGAAAAAGGCTAAACCCTCTGGCATTTGTTTTACACAGCCACAAACTCTATTCAGATTGGTTCATCTGCATGCAGAGAGGAACTGCAAGTAAAAACCTTTGTGCTTAGTACAAAGTCTGTGTACGGTCTTTTATTTCCTTTGTGTGCATTTCTTAATTCAGCGCTGTGAACATAGATAAGACTGGTGGCATGGATAGGGTGGTTTGTGATTTTGAAACGTGCCAAGTAATAAACTGTGATCAGAAAGTTAATAAATTCTGTTAAATGACATTCAAAGGAGGGGACATAAAAAATCTTTCAACATATAATAGAGTGCTAACAGAACATTTCACACATTTATATAATGAAACAGGCCGAATAACAATTCTAGGATGATTACTCCCTTAAAGCAGCAACCATTGGTACTGAGACATTGGTTGTTGTATTGAAATTGAAGTTGTATCAATAACAATCTCTTATTGGAAGCTTTCTACAAAACCAACTCAAATTTATGACCCTTTACAAGCCTCCAAAACCCACTGCCAAATTTCAAAAAAGCTCCAGGCTGCTTATAACAGTGCAAAGTCACATACTATAAAATTCAGGTTAAGAAATACACATAATACCTTAATAAAATATGTACGTTTCCTCATTTAACAAATGAGAAAATAAGCTAAACAACTGAAAGCAGATCAATAAGGAACCAAAACAAGACCTCAGTATTTAAATTCATCGAATACATCTAAAGATATGTTTTTCTAGCTACTTAAAAGGAGTAGTAACCCTTTAAAAATAAAGAAAAATACTTATTTATATGTAGCTTTGAAAATGGTTCAATAAATAATCCCTTAATGTCTGCATCTAATGTAAGGTGTTCAAACAGCTCAGTCAAATGGAAAATCATGTCAGGGCTCAACCTAATTGTTACAAAATTAGAAAAACCCCGCAACTCCTAATTGAGGTTAGAGAATGTAAAATTGCCTTTGTCTACCGAAGAGAGCTTCATGTAAAGTGCATCTATTTATCCTTACTTCAAAAACAGTCAAGCAGAGGATTTTAATGTGTTAATAGCGAAAAAAATATATATTTTTTTTTGACTTCTCTGACCCTTAATCTCATTAGGGCTCTGCTACAGCAAAGAAACATGGTAAAGGACAGTATTTTGAACCCAAATTAATTCTGCATAGGGTGCTTATGAAATGCAAGGTTATCTTACAGGTCACAACAACAAACTTACACAATTAATAATCGGATAGCAGCATGTAGTGGTGACAATATTGTTAGTATGCATGAAATATTTGGGGATTAAAGCATACAGAAGGGTTGTGGCTTTTTCACTATTTGTGGTTTGGACAGCTCTCCTTTCTGTGTTTTAAAGGATAAATTCTACGGTTAACAGTATCTTTAGGTTGCCTTTTTTCACCATTACTGAAGACTTTCTTTACATTTATAACCTGGTCAGTCACTTATTCCACAATTCATAGAGAGTTGATCGGAAACTCATACAAGAATACAAAATAATTCAGTATCTTTTTTAAGTAATAACCTAATCTGCACTAGGGCTGCAACTAACGATTATTTTAAAAATCGATGAATCGGCCGATTATTTTTTCGATTAATCGATGAATCGGACAAAAAAATGTTTCTATATTTACCTCTTTATTCCAAAATAAACATTTTAGACAGAACAAACAAGCACACAAGTACAGGTTGCTCATTAACTGTACTGGTGCAATATGAAAAATAAATGTTTGTGTTAAAACTACGCAAACTTACATGAGAAATGTAGCTGTACATCCACAAAATATAGGCTACTTTGTTTCATAAAGCGCAAAAAAAGACTTTTTTTTTAAAGCCCCTAAGGGGTTCAACAAATTAGTTTTTTTTATACTAGAAGAGTTCTGCCTTTTAAGACAGGAAAGTATAGCAGTTAACGTTGCTACTTGAGAAAATACTGAACCATAGAGATAAAAATAGCCCTGTGATTCAAATTATAAATTGTATTTGGAATAAAAATGAGAGAACTAGGGGTGTTAAAAAACATATCCTCCAAAGACAGATATTTACATGGGAATGTGGCATATAATTAATTGACATATTACTGATCTTGCTTGATTTTATTCTGCTTTACTTCCATAAATTGCAGCATCTTCTTTTCTTTATCTTTGCCAGAAGATTTAAACTTTAAAAGCCTTGCCCTCATAATTTGCAAGTTAATTTATTTATAAAGAAAATATAAACGCTGCTTAAGCTAATTCAAATGAAATTAAAAGTAAAATAAGTAGCCAACCTTATCACTGTCTGTAACCTACTAACAAGGTAAGCAAAGCATCAGATGAGCTACCTGAGAAACTAACGTTATGTTTCCCCACTTTAAAACGAAACAAACATGGTGGTTCCGTGCCATGTTAATTTGTTTTGACAAAAGTTGCATGTTACGACTTTTTTCGCTTTACAAAGCGCAGGCTATTTTAATTATTGTGATCAATTTGCGCCGTCAATCCCGGCGCATGCGCGCTTCATTTGCAGTCTGGACGCTGAGGGTAAACATCCTGGCTCTGACTGCAGCGCTGAGAGGGACTCCTGCGGGAGCGGGGGGAGGCGCCCCACGGCAGAGTAGGAACGGTACATGCTTTCACGTAAGAGTCTCCAAAAGCCGCCAGTGACACCGTAAAAAGTCGCCAGTTTTGTCGCTAGTCGCTTTTTTTGAAAAATAGTCGCTGGAGGAGTCTGAAAGTCGCTGAGTTGGCAACACTGCACCTCCGGCGCTGGCTCGCTCTGCCGTATTTTTTTTTTCTTCCCCCGTTTCAGTCAAGTTAATCGCGCGACACAACTAATCGATGATAAAATTCGTTGCCAACGCTTTTAAAAATCGATTTTTATCGATTCGTTGTTGCAGCCCTAATCTGCACTACATAATTTTCTGTCTATTTTGATTTACCGTATTTTCGAAAATACGGTATAACTATTTTATTTTGATATAAAATAATTGATTTGCTGCATTTTCGATGCAGCTTTTAAGAAGGTGCAGCTTGTCTGTGGATTTTTCCTAACTGCCAGACTCTAACTGCCAGAGGGGAAATTCAACATTGTAAATGAAAGAGTAAGGGGAGAATATGCTAGCAGCAGGCAAAACGGAGAACAAATATTCCGAATTCACACATTTTGACATTTATTTGCAGCATTAAAGCTGCTGAACCAATGAAGAGACTGTGCTCAACTCTTGCAGAGCTTAAATAAAGAGCTGACAAAGCCCCATCTTCCAGTAGAAGCTCTTACTGATGCGAGACAAGGAGCTAACGGGAGCTAGCATTCATCCTCCTCCCTACATATCAGTGGCTAATAGCCTGATGCGGCTTATGTATGTATGTTTCCATTTTTCTTTGTTGTTTTTTTTTCAAAAAATTGTGAGCACCGCTTATAGTGAAGTGTGCTTTATAATCTGGTAAATAAATATATATAAGTAAAGGAAACAATTTTTACTTACTCTTTAAATGTCGCTGTTTCTGGATCCTCCGTCATCACATCATGCAATGCTTCCACAGAAATGTTAATGATGCCGCAAAATTTGTCCTGGATCACACTGAAAACACACAGTATACACAGTTTCATTAGTGGTTACATCATTAATGTAACAGCTGTCTGGCAAGTAGGTGTGCTGGTTCAACAAAGCACATAGTCAATTTAGAAAAACATCTGAACACAGTGAAACCCTCTCTCTGGGCACAATACAAGCAAAAGAAATAAAAAGCCCAGGAAATAAAATATGCATTACTTCCTCAGAAATTCCCATCACAGCAATTTCGTTGATATTTACGAAATGTATTCATTCCAGAGAGGGCATATCAAGGCAGGGGATAATTGAAAGTCTAAATCAAAATGTGAAAAACAGCTTATGCATTTGTTCTCTGACATTCATAAACAAGAAAAACATATTAAAAGCATAAAATTTCAAACTGTAAAAGTAGTCCAAGTCCAAATATAACATGGTGTTGCCATTTGGCAATATTTTTTACTACAGTGATATTTTTCTGCAATGCAGAAGCCCACGCTCTAAAATGTGTTGGCTAGAAACATCCACAACCCAAGCCTGGAGTCAAGCAACAATCATTGATAAATTATTTGAGTCATTCTTAAAAGGCAAAGAAAAAGCAGTGGGCTTCCTGTGTCAAAAAAAATAAAAGGATTGATGGAAAACAATATGAAAACAGAATAAGTGTGGGTATGGGTATTCAAACATCAAGGGCTGTCAGTTCATATATCAGGAAAGGTGAAACCCATGCAAGGCCAAATAAAGTTCGATGTTTGGCGAGCATGGAGACTCAGCATGAAAGACTATCTTACTGAGAGTAAACACCGATCTGCCCCAGATTATCTACGGGTGGGAATGTTTTCCTTGAAATATAATAAAGAACAGACAAGAAGCTAAATCTAAGTAAAAGTGTATTTTCTTTTTGGGTCCTTGTGAAATGGCTCCAATATAAAGTCTCCCAAAAAATTGTCAAAATTAGACAAAAGTTGATTCAGAATATTTTCAAAGTAGTAGTGTTTTTTTTTCTTTTTTCTAACTAAACCTCAAATCAAGTTTTGCAGTTGAACTACAGATTGGGCATTCATTAATGTTTTCATTATGCTGCTGTGCAAATCTTAAAAGTATAGAGGGCTATCTTTTATTTCCGGGTGGATTATTTAAATAATTGGTCTTCCTAACTGTCAATCATTCTGGTGATATGTTTATGTAAGGCTGTCCTACATGCTTGTCCCGCTAGCTATACATTTGTGCATGTGCCCTTTTGGCCTATATCTGTGGTGAGCTAGTTTCAGACAGTCATTGAAGCTCACCTTTCTCACCGTTGTTCTTTGAAAATGGCCGAGGGTCGTAAGAGAAAAAGTGTCTAAGAAGTGTACAAGAAGGAAAAAAAGGCCTCAAAAGAGGCAGATATATCCTGGAACGCTTTGCGCAGAGAGCTCTCCTCACAAAGCATTATGGGATTTGGGCCCGCTGTCAGGTGACTAATAAAGACAGTGCAGGAGTTACGTGACCAATGGAGGAAAAAGCAGTGATCATTGGTCCAAACAGTCAGTTAACCAAGTTCACTACTAAGTCCACTACATAGTCCCCGCTCTATATAGTGATTGAGGGCTTTAGGGGTTAGGGTGGACGTTCAGGCACTTTAAGCTTGTATGAGCTATAACAACAGCAACTTTTAAACACAGCGTGCACGAGGAGAAATTAGCTTGTGTATGTACGCGCATTTTTTTTTTTTAAGTGGAGAGGGCAGTTCTTTTAAAATAATTCACTAAAATCCTCGACAATACCCTTAACATTTTCTTCTAACCTTTTTTAATTCTACAATACTCAGCTCAAACCCATCAGAATGCTGTGCTCTACTTGAAACATGACTTTTTCATTTTTTATGGACTGAATTGTATATATCTAAGTATGTAGCTTAGTACATGTCTGCATCACAGCCTCAGTTTTGCCATGAAACTTGGAAATGGGAAGTCAGAGTACCATGATCTCAGAATTGATCGCGTTCCAGTTTCCTGCCAGTGGAGGCTCGTATTAACTATTGTGTGTATATTATAACTACAGTAACTTTTACAAACATAAAAATGGTTAAAAAAGCCACACTTTTCTTCGTGGTATTCTGATTTTCCGAGTACAAAATAAACACATCATGAACCCATTTCACCAGCAGACACCATTGTGGAGAATCGGGGGTTGGAATTTGAATTTGGTTTATGTACTTGGATCATTTAATTAATAATATCAAATTAACTATCTCTACCATCCATATTCACTTCAATCCAAACTGTTAGCCAAATTAGTGTCATCAAGACAGTAACAGAGAATTTTTAGGTGCCAATTCAAAATGTATTCACAGTTAATCTCCTGTAGACATGAAACAATAAGCTAATATGGATGTTTTTTCCCCTCACATTGCCTCGTGAAGTAAAGCCAAAACAAACAAAACTGGGATCAGGGCCAAAAACAATTGTCTGCTTGACTCCACATGGTGTGTAGTGTGTCCCTGCATTTAAAAAAAAAAAGATTTCTGTATGCTTTGCCAGTGTGAATACAAATATCCCACATTTTGCTACTGGTTGATGGTCTTTTCTCATTTTTAGGTCCCTTCTCCAGAAAAAAACACACCTGTCTAAACTCAAAATGAGCAACAAGTGGAACAATTTATTATAAATAAATCTTTAGATATAAATGTTGATTTTTCATGAGTATGATAAACTTTAATCAGTTGCTGAGGCCACAAGTGTGACTTTGAGGTTGATATAGTTTGCCTTTCAAACTTGTTATCACAGTTGTGACAGCTTTAATATTAAAATGACTAAACACAACCATATCTTGCTGGTTGATACATTTCTGAAAACTAACTGGGCTACAGGTGCTTTTATAATGAGTAGTTTGTGGACCTTTGTCTGTATCTAGTGATACAAAAAGTTATGCCATTTTAAATACTTGTATTGCCAATTTTATCATCGGGGCTCAACCGATAGCATGTCAAAAAGACATATCTGCAGTAACTTACTGCTTTGAAAGCACATTCCATCATCTTTAAGGGTGAGATCAACAAGTCATATCAATGCAGAGGAAGCCTAGTACCTTAGTAAACACCTGCCTGTGCAAAGATCCACAGCAGAGTGAGACAAAGGTTTAAAGGGGTCATTGAATGATTATATTGGGTATTTGGTGCTGGTCCTTAAGGTCTCTGAATAGGGTGTGTAACATTGGAACACTGAAAATGGCATATTTGCAGTTGTATGAGCCCTAATGCAAACCTGGTTAAAAGCCCTAGAATGAAACTACAGGTTTTCTTCCTTTTATGGTATGCTCATGAATATTTAGATGAGCTGTGTGCTGATTGGTTGACTTACAACGAGTGAAGCTGCTGAGTAAAGACGCATCATAGCAACAAGCACTCACTCACTGAAACCTCAAATTTTTGATATGGTAGGGTGACCAGACGTCCTCTTTTTCCCGGAAATGTCCTATTTTTCATACCTAAAAAAATGTCTGGGGGGCAATTTCAAAATCATCCGGGATTTTGGTCGACTACAGTGTAGCAGATCCAAGCCGTGAGCACCGGGAACTCCGGTGGATGGGTTGGCGGGGGAGGGAGTGACCGAACCCGACCAGGTGACCGTAGCCTCTGTGTCGTCCTTTTCAGAAACCCAAATCTGGTCACCATAGATACGCTAGCATTGCTTTCAACAGCTAAGGGAAAAAATAGTACTCACAGCTTGCAGTTGTAATGGCCTTATTGTCAGAACAGCCCTTCATTTCAGTAGAGAAGTCTATCAAATCCTGCTTTGAACTGTCCAAGATTTTGATAGCTGTCTTCGGTAAAATGCTTAGAGCCAATGAACAGCTGAGCATCAAACTTTGCAGAGTACTTCTGATACTCTAAAACATAATCCATACCTGTCGAGTCTTCAGATCCTTGGGAAGACTGAAAATGTTTCCCTTTCTCCATGCAGCCTGGAACACTGCATTTACACCCGTGGTTCTGCCTCATTTTCAATAGAGAAACTGCCTGCTTTGTAATTCTTGTAGAAGTAAACCTAACTGTAGGCTAAACAGCTAAACTGGTGTCTTACATCTACCTCTATTCGTGTTCTTGGGCCATGAACCACTGGGCTGGTGTGTAAGTAAATTTTGGGGCGAGACAAAAGTATACCCAAATAAGGAACCATCCCTGAATTCAGTGCTTTGTTTGAATTCACCCGTTTTATGGTGGAAGTTTAAAATTGTGAGATTTGCAGAGAAAGGAGATGGCTATGGGTTCTGAACTTCTCTGTACGTCCATTTCACCCACTGAACTATTGATTTTCATGAATGACAATGTAAACTGTTTTGCATTCTATGACCCCTTTAGTGAAGGGTAATAAAACTTTGTATATGTGAAGCGAAGTTTAAGGATTATAACAACTTTACACAGCTCAGTTATGTTGTATGAAGTTATGTCGGGGTAGATAGAACTCTCCAGAAAAAAAAAGTCTTGCCGGCAACAGTTCCTTTAAATACTCTTTCTAGCCTGCATCAGAAAACCCCACATAGAAGTCTTTGATAAAGCTGATGTTCTCTAAAAATGAAAAGATTAATTTGAGGACTGGTAGTTTTGTGAATTTTCATCTTCATTTCTTTCAAAATCATTTTGTACGTCTTGACTGCCTGTAACGCTGTGCATTATCTATGCCAATTTCTGTTTGAACATAGAACATGTTCAGTTGATATCTTTACCTCAACCAACAGGAAGTTATTTCAAAATTATTACGTTTCTAAAAAAACATAGGGAGAGCTTGAAGCGGAGCCGGAAATTGAAATACTAAGTTCAAGTAATAAGTCAGTAAGTTTTACAGAGAAACATTTAGGTTGCTCCCAATGATGGAAAGCTGCTTCAAGCAAAAATAATGTGCTTTTTACTTCAAGCTATTTTATGAGCTTGAAGGTCACATTAGGAAAGGCAATGAATGGACATTAAAATAGAGCCTTAAAATAATTGAATGAAAGGTTAGGTACTCATACTGGAGGTCAAAAGTAAACAGATAATTTACAAAAGATAAATATATTACAGAGCCAAAAGAGGCATCAAAAGGCAGAAAAGCATGATAAGGGCAACTGTGGACAAGATATGGACCTCTTTAATTTTTTGCTTGAACTATAGATTAAATAGTTGATTTGTCAAGCAGCACTTAACCCATCTGAGCTGTCATAATCTATTGCTGCTGCAGCCCAGGCACGGGGGTGTAACAAAGGATTTCATGCCTGCCTTTGCCTATAATTACCCCATATCTGGTTTGCAGAACTCTGAGCCTCCCTAAACCTCAATGAAAACAAACTGCTAGTTGGGATATCAAACAAGAAGATGAACCTCAAACACCATAAATAATCTCCAATGTTTTTTTAAAGTTATTAAAACCATGAGTGAGGTGGTATTTTGATAGAAAATAAAAATAAAAAATACATAAAAAAACTTTCCTGTTTTTAATTCTCCAGAAGCAGAAGTATGTGAATAAATTGATGCTTGACTGAAGCTCATATTGAGACACTACACCTGAAATTTCATGAGAAACAGCTCGTATTTCTTTTTCTTTGCTTGTCACTGCATTACAGCAATCAGCACAACACAAACACTTATCTGCTACTAAATATACATTTAATCTGCTGAATGCATAGGTTTGACTTTACGACAGATTTTTTTTTTTTTTTTACAGGACATGTTCTTAAACTGTAGTTTGATCCTCCGTCAAAAGATTAAGGAAACAGAAGACTAGACTTTTAAGTGTGCATGAGTATTTATATGTTTGCTTTTAACTGGTGAGTGACAGATGTTGGCCAGATGGTGTTGACTCATCACAATAATCCAGCACACTTGAGACTTCTTTTGGCTCACTACAAATTTGCATTTTTCATACTGCTTACCAGCTTGTGGCATTACATTTAAAGAGAGACTTGGTAAATCACAGCTATGGTGGTCGGGAATGGATTGAATTCTCTCCAAAAACCCACTGGCACTCCTACATTCATGAGATTCATGGAAAACGCATATAAAGTGTGTCGGTAAATTTCACATTTAAGATAGAATTCATTAAAAGAACACAGCAGACACTGTGACCTAAAGAGTTGATGCATATGAGTTATTTTAAATGATTCCTCCCGCCACTATCAGTACTGCAAGTGTGGCTCCCCTCTTGAAATACAGACTATGTAAGTTGGGAGATGACGGACCATCATTAACCTGGCCAATGTCGGCCATTAAATAATGGATTTAAAACCGATTCTCTTTTCTCAACATTATTATCAGGCTGGTGAGTTAACACTTTGCTCCTAGTATACAGTCATATATCTTTGCCTAACCATCTACCAACCAGCCTCCTCCCACTTGGCAGCCACCTTCCCGACAGCAAGCTCCAGCATTTTGCACCTAAGGACCTCTGCAGCCCCACTCACTCCCAAGCGGATTGTTCCCATTTCACACAGTAAGCCTTTTAGTACTGCATCTCTCTCATCGTGCACATACTTCGATTAACTCTCAGTGTCTGTTGCAGTGTGCCTCATGATCAGTTTGTTTCCAGACTCCCTGAAGAAACTCTCCGTGTCGTCCTTGTTTTTTTTTCTTAAATAAAACTTAAATCTGCCCTACCTGTCTCCTCAGTGTGTTCTGCATGTGGGTCATAAAATTAGGGACCATGGCAGATGTTTAGTAGAAGCAAAATATGGGCAGTTACAAGTGTAGTGCCCATGGTGGCCAAAAGTTACAGTGTGTCTTTAAGTTCCCAGTGGTTCTATTGGAATAACTTGATGTGTGCTTCGTTATTCAATAGTTGACACTAATTGGGACACTACAATTCAAATCTGCATGGACACAGGAGAGGAAACAGTGATTCTTACCTGTTGTCAGAAGGTAGAAGAGAAAGGAGAGCCAACGATGATAATTTCCTCCTCTCAGGCTGGGTTATGTTGTCCATGCGGTCCACCCACATCTCAATCATACTTCCGAACAAATGGTCTATCTATAAGTTAAATAGAAAAAAAATTATTAAGGCTTGAAAAAGTATCCACTCCACAGGTAACCCTTGAGCATGAAGAAGATCTGTCATTAACATGAACTAACTGAAATGATCAGATAGATAAAATTTAAACCAGTCTAGTGCTGCTCCTTTAATTCCTATACAATATTCAAGTCTTTCTAAAAGATTATTATGATCAACTGTATCAAATGCAGCACTGAGAACCAACAGGACATGCAGATACAAGTCCATTATCTGAGGCCATGAGAATATCATCAGTTACTTTCAGCAGAGCTGTTTCAGTTCTATGATGAGCTCTAAAGCCAGACTAAAACTCTTCAAAATGTTCATTATGGTTTAAGTGATCGCATACTTGTTTGGCAACTACTTTCTCAAGAATTTTAGATAAGAAAGAAAGATTGGATATAGGTCTATAATTGACCAAGCCATCTGGGTCAAGAGACGGTTTGTTAAGTAAAGGTTTAATTACAGCAAACTTAAAAGCCTTTGATACATATCCCTGTACAGAAATAGATTAATCACATCTAAAATGGTGAACAAGATCAAAGGGAATACTTCCTTAAATAACCTGGTTGGAACTGGATCTAACATACAAGTTGAAAGCTTAGATGAAGACAATAGTTTTGCCAACTCTGAAAGTTCAACTGGATCAAAGCAGTTTAAACCCGCCTCAGATTCTATGGCTACCTCAGATGCAGCCTCACCTTCCAGAGAAACCAATCGTAGTTAGAGGAGTGCTAATGATCTTATTTTTAATAAGATCAATCTTATTTATAAAGAATCCTGTGAAATCATTACTGCTAAGAGCAGGTGGGATGGACGGTTCAGTTATTTTGAGAGCAGGCTACACAGGAATATTCCGTCAGCCTTGAGTCTTTTCTTGCTAGCCCTATGTGGGGAATCCAATATTCCAGATTTGTTGGGTTTTTCCACCTTGAAGCAAGCATGCACATCCAAGATATTATCCCATCTCACCACAACCACCGCAGTCAGCCTGCATTCAATCGCACCCAGCATACAGCTCAGCTCCCGATTTTGCTCGTTCACAGCCTTTCTGAGCATGTCAACCGCTGCCGGTAGCCTGATCAATGTCCAAATTGCTGCAGACATCCTCTGTAATTGTAGAAAAATCAGGTATCCTCCAAATCCAAACAGGAGAAATCCAAGTATCATAAATCTGAAAATCCATACATCTTTGATATCTTTCACTGACAGCATTGTTAAACACACCATCCTCCAATCCTTCCAGGAGTCCTTGGTGTATCCCACGCAGTATGTCCCAGCAGGACAGGAGGGGTCCCCTTTTCCCTGTCTTCCAGTTGAGAAACTTTATCAATTGCATTGACAGACCAGCTTACCTAGATCCATTGTTTAAGTTCAGTTGATATGAAGAGAGGGCTTAGGAAAGACAAGACACAGCAAAGCACAAGCCACATGTGGACGGTTAGGTAAACTCCCATGAGCCCTCAAGCATCCTGCAGAGGGTTGTACAGCTAGTCCAGTATTCCAAAGCTGGAACAAAGCCGACCCTGCTGACTTAAGCCCTCTCCAGTACCCTGGCATATGCCTTCCAGTGGACACTGAGAAGTGTAATTCATGTAGTTTTAAGTCCCCAAACAACATGCATTTTGGGGATGTCTGTCAGCCACAACAACCAAACAACATCATGAGACCTAAGGTACGCAGGGGGGATCTCATTAAAACCCTAAATCCTTCAGAGTTTTTCTTTTCTTACTTCAACTTGGGTGATGAACAAGTCTGGCTCTCAACCCCCACTCTCCGCTTCCGCCAGGGGCATTTGAGGAGATCCTCAAACTATTCCTTCTACTGTCTGACAAAGTCCTCAGTTACATTCAGCATCTTCTCGTTCTAACTTAAAACAGTTTTAGCATAGCGCTGCTTATCCATCTGGAAGTGCAGAGTAGTTTGCCAGAATCGCTTTGAGGCCGACTTACAGTCTTTCTCCATGGTCTCTCAAAACTCCTCCTAGGCACAAGGTTTTGCTCCTTGAACCACCCAGCAGTGACAAGCTTGTCATCAAGGAACCTGCTTGCTGCCTCAGAAGTCCTACAAGCCAAACAGACTCAATAGGACTACCTTCAGCTTGACAACATCCCCTACTGCCAGTCCACCACCAGGTTCGGGGGTTGCTGCTAAGACAGGCACAGAGCTTACTGCCAGAGTTATAGGAAGCAACTTTGACAACAGAGACAGAGAATATGGTCCACTCTGACTCCCTGTTCCTGACCACCCAGAGAACCGGAGAGAAGCTCTCTCCGAGTTGGGGAAAATTATATATGCTATGAAAAATCAATGTAAAGCATAATAATTGACAATTATTTTACTGTGGGGATGGTTCTCTTTAGCAGAACCATAGAAGTTAGTCAGAGTTGATGGAAAGATGAAAATACAGGGTCATCCTGCAAGAATACTTGGTTAAACCAGCAACATAATTAAGGCTAATGGAGATGCCCATCTTCAACTAGGACTGTGACTTTAAACATATAAGGTAGATTTGCAGTTTCTTTAGATCAAAGCTTATTCATCTATTAGAAAGCTCAAGTCAAAGATAAGACAAAAAAAAACTGAGAATCTGCAGCAAGGCAAGTAAGCTGAGTTTACAAATGCTGGATGTGATTAATTCCGCAAGGTGATGTTATTACGGTATACTTTATGCAAATTTTTATGGTTATTCCTATGTCTATTCTGCAAAGTTCTGTTCTAATTATATATTTTTTTACGTGCTTTGTATGACTATGCTTTGGTCTCTCAGGTTTTATTTTGTTTATATTACCATTTCCGTTCACTTATCCACATTTCTACCAGCATGCCTTTATCTCTCTCTTTCATAGTGCATCATATATTCATAATTTAAATTTCCTTCTGATAAAAAGATAAAAAATAGATCACAGAGAAAATGGAGTAATTGAAGAAGAAAGCTGATAGAAAAGCATTAATAAAGAATAAAAAAGACAGAAATGGATAACAGTGTTTGTGGGGGCTCTTTGTAACCTTTAGATCTTTTTCTACTTCAAAATAATTTCCTCATATGACACGTGTCACCAAAAATATCATTTTATTTTTCATGCTACAGTCTGGCTCTCTTGTCAAGTATAAAAGGTCCGCTAGAACAGAAAACATCTTTGTTTTATTTTATGTTGCAAACTTCAAACCACACTATATATAAGGATAACTTTAATTTTAGAAGAAGAAAAAAAAACAAGAACAATGTTTTACAATTGAGGAAGCAAAGTCAAGGTATAAAAACTTTAAAAGGTCCCCATTCGTAATTCTCTGGGTCATTACTTTCAATCTGAAAGATTTATTTTTAACAGCCACTCTGTCTCGCTGATGATGATCAGATAAAATGGTGCTGAGATGACAGAAATGAAGGGCAGACATCAGCCTCACCTCCTGGTTGCATTCAGAAGCCATTTGTGAGAGCAGCGAGGAAAAGAAGCTGAAGTTCTGGAGTAGAACACGACCCATGATGCCAAGGTATGTGGACATCACCACTGGATAACGCTGTAAAAACATATGGACATGATCAGATAGAGCATTTAGTAATGCTTTAAATACACCTGCAAGATAAAGCAGGTTATTAACTCTGAAAGATGAGAGAATTACTACAACAAAATGCTGAAATGGCAGCCTTTAATTTGTCAGATTAATAAGACTCAACATTTTTCTGATATAAGAGGTAAGAAATAGCCCAGCTTTTCAGTAAACCAGAATCAAACTATAACATATTGCTGATAAATTAGATCATTATAGATCAATTAATATACACAACTTATACAAGAGATAAAAATAACAACAAAAAACAACTTCTTACCTCCCCGTCAACGATACCTCTAAAGACAGCTGGCAGCAGGGGCTGAAACATGTGGGCTCCCAGTATGGGACTAACCTTTAAAGCTATTTCAACCACCTGCAGAGACACGTGGAGAGGACAGGTAGGGGAGAAACATGAGATTAAGCAGAGAGAAATAGGAACATACAACTCAGAACAGGGAAAGACAAAGGTCATGAATAGATACAAAGACAAAACCTTATACAAGAATATCGAGAAGAAAATGATGTTGCAGCATTATCCCTAAATAACTTACAAACAACAATGGCTGTTTCTGTTTTAATAAGAGCAAACATTTGGATATGTTCTGTGCCCATAAATGGATCTTAAACAGTAATCCATGTTCTGTAACATGTTTTTGATGCATTATGTAAAAAACAAAAAAAAACAAAAAACACACACAAATAAAAAAAAAACCTTGATCTTTTATCCTATGCTCAAGGATAAGAGGTCAGGCAATAGCAGCTGTTACAGCTTGTTTATCTGTGACTGATATTTTCAGACAAGAGCCTGAAACCAGTCATTCTTAACGCTTTATATTCTCCTTTGGAAATCTAAAATGTTTCTCTTTTTTCTAAGATATTTTTCTTACTCTACATTAAGACTGCTGCAACTCTTTGGGGGCTAAATTATGGTATCATCAGGGATCTCAGGCTGAGACACTGATAGTTGTTACTGGGCACACCACCCTACTTCTCACTCACATGAAGGATGTGCTTTAGGAGAACACCATGCAGAGTCCATCCTCTGCTATATGCTAGGCCACCTTGCACCTTAGCTTAAAGGAATAGTACACCCAAAACATGATTAGCCTTCATTTTCTACTCACCCCCATGCTGAACAACACCCTGGAGTACTTTTTTGATATCTCAAATGCATCTGGAGATCTGGGAGGCTTCTTGCTGTCTGCTGACATTCAAATAATGGAGGTCTATGGTGACCGAGACAGAAAGGTCCATAAAAGTCCACAAAAAACGTGTCAATATTCCTCCATACTGCTCGTCCAATGTATTCCAAGTGTCCTGAGTGGGTAGCATCCAGAATTTACTCGAAACGAAGTCATTTAGAATGTTTTTAGAGCATAAACAGTAGTGTATAGGATTTCCTGAAAGCGCGCACATGCGCGATCACGAGGCTACGGAAGCCGGCAGACCAAACCAGATGAAAGTGCGCATTCAGCTTCTGCTCTTCCAATAATGCAAGCGTAGAAGAAGAAATGTGCCGTTTACCTGTGCAAAGAAAGAAACAACGAAAGAAAAATGTCTGAGGACTTCAGTGTTGAGGAAGAGCATGAGTTCTTTGCTGAGCTGAATGCGCTGGTTTGGTCTGCCGGCTTCCGTAGCGTCGGGATCGCGCAGGTGCGCGCTTTCAGGAAATCCTATACACTACTGTTTATGCTCTAAAAACATTCTAAATGACTTTGTTTCGAGTAAATTCTGGATGCTACCCACTCAGGACCCTAGGAATACATTGGACGAGCAGTATGGAGGAATATTGAAACGTTTTTTGTGGACTTTTATGGACCTTTTTGCCTCGGGCACCATAGACCTCCATTATTTGAATGTCAGCAGACAGCAAGAAGCCTCCCAGATCTCCAGATGCATTTGAGATATCAAAAAAGTACTCCAGGGTGTTGTTCAGCATGGGGGTGAGTAGAAAATGAAGGCTTATCATGTTTTGGGTGTACTATTCCTTTAAACCAAAATTAAGATACTACAGACTCTCTAATCAAATATGTAGGCATTCGAGCCATTTTGTGATGGAGAAATTTCTCTAACAAAGTGACTGTAAAAAGCATTTTTTTTCTAAAGCGGACACCCAAGTCAGTTTTCTTTCCTTCCTTATGTTTTTAAACTTAAACCTCGCACAAGTTACCTGTTATATATCTAGATTCACCATAATTTCGAAGTTTAAGGTTTGATTTGTAAAAGATTTGGGCAGACGCCCATCTTTTTTTAAGAGTTGGTTTCTTGCATCTCAGCGGTCGTTGTACATTCATTCAGCCTTATTCACATAAAGTTGGTCAAACAAAGAGTGTTTCTCTGCAGCTTTAGGTAATCCTAAACCCACAGCACACATTACTTGCTCTCTTGCTAAAGCCTCTTTGATTATATTGGTACTCTGGCATCTTTATCTGAGCAGCTCTGATGCTTTGACTATTTAAACTGAGCTAAAATTAAATTAGCAACTCTCCTGACATCCTTTCTATTCTATAATAAATAATTAACATGAAAACAATTAAAATTTCACAACATTTTAAAAGTTATTCTGCCAATAAACCAGTTTCATAATAAAATTGATGCACCTGCTATAAGGTTGTGGGAAAAAACACAATCTATTACATCTTTAATCTAGACAAAGATTAGATTTAGTGTTAATCATGACTAAAGAAGCAGAAACTCTGTGCCAGAAAATCTCTGCTAATTGGCTTTTTCCTATCTTTTAATACAAACAGGAAAATGTTATAATTCTGCTTTAAGGTTCAGCAACATAAATGAGGAAACAGGATCAATCGAGCTTTTAAATCTTTATAAAAAGTAAACCAAGGCTATTTCTGATTAGCCAGATCCCTCCATCGTCAGGATTTGTTTTGTAAACATGCATGTTTGCTGTCTGCTGGCTCTCTTCTCTCTAGTCAACATTAGTTGGATTCAGATGCGCAGTAAGCCAACAGGCTTAAACAAGCTAAAGCTTTGTGGATTAACATCAATTCAGCTGATTTATAGTTTGGTTATAAAATAAGCAAACAGGATTTGAGCTACAAAAAGGAAGAACTTTTAGGCTGACATATTTCTAAAGAGAATAGATATACCGTATTTTCACGACTATAAGGCGCACTTAAACGTCTTTTTTTCCCCTCAAAATGTGCGGTGCGCCCTATGGTGCGGTGCGCCCTATGTGTGTTGTAAATGCGACTTTTGAGACCACCTCATTGAGGAGATGATGAAAGAGTGGCTGAATGTAAGGAGATCAGGTGTTTTTTTTCCACTCATCACCATTAATCTGTGACTCCATGCGTGCCCATCTCACAGCTGATGTGAAAAACATGGGGAAACAAATTAACCCTGTGCTCGCTGTTCAACCGCTCAACATCGGTGTGAACCGGACCCAGCAGGTGCAGCAGAAGCAGCGAGTTTACATGCAAAGTCAATGGTTGACGCGCGTATAGGCGCAGCAAAAGGTCCTGCAGCACGTTTTGAGCCGCAGGTGCAGCACGTCGGGATCGTTTAAGCATCTGACGCACCGCCAACGCGCTGCTGCTGCTCGAGATGGAAAAATTTAAGTTTTGCTGCTGGACGCGCCACATCAACCAATCAGAGAAGCTGATCTGGGAGCTGACAGCGAGACAGACACAGCGCTCTGATGACATATGATATTAAATGAAAAAGGCTGGATAGATGAGGAGATGATGAAAGCGTGGCTGAGGGAGGTGTAGCCTATGTGAGGAGACCAGGTGTTTTTTTCCACGCATCACCATTGCTGCGTGCCCATCTCACAGCCGATGTGAAAAAAAAGGTGAATCAATGAACGCTGTGCTCGCCGTTATCCCGGGGGGTCTGACAAAGGAACTTCAACCGCCCAACATCGGTGTGAAGCGCCCGTTCAAAGTAAGGCTGCGAGCGGCGTGGGAGCGATGGATGGCCGACAGAGACCACAGTTTCAGGATAATAGGAAGGCAGCGCCGGGCAAGTTACGCCACCGTTAGCGGATGGATTGTAGATGGACTAACGTGTCTGCTGGCTCTGTTCTTCAAGCTTTTGCAAAAGCCGGCATTATTTCTGAGGAGCTGCGCTGCACGGAAAGTGACTGACAGCGAAGAAGAAGGGGAAATTGGCATGTCTGATTTAGCGCAGCTGTTTAATTCAGAAACAGAGGATGATGACTTTGATGGGTTTGATTAATACTCTGTAATAAATACATGAATAAAGCACAATCATACTCAGTTTTGCTCCCGCTCTATTTTTCTACCTGAAAACTTAATTCAACAGCAGCCTCTGGCCGGGTCTCCTCCTCTTCACCGCGGTGGCTGGCAGGTGTTTTTTCATCTAAATAATCTAAATCTTGCAGCTATATTTGCTGTGATCAGTGGGAATAAAGTAGTTTTAATATGTTTTTAAGTGAGAAAGTCCACCTGAAAACTTCATAATTGCAGTCAGTTCATCCAGATTATCTATTTCTGTCGGAGGCGCTCAGACCCCCACATACCAGCGGTGCGCCGACAGGAGAAATCCTTTCGTTCACCGCTGCTGCTGGCAGGTGTTTTTCATCTAAATAATTTAAACTGCAGGCACCAGGATGCCGGTAATAAAAGCGAACATATTCTGTCGGCAGGTTTCAGGATTTTAAGTTAATTTAGGAGTGATCACAGCGCTGTGTCATCTGCGATGTGTCTGTCTCACGGCCAGCTGCCAGGTTTGATTAATACTTTGTTATAAATACATGAATAAAGCACAGTCATACTCAGTTTTGCCCCCGCTGTATTTTTAAATACGCAGTAGAGGTATTTAAAGGTAGTAGAGGACATGTACCTGTATATAAAAAACGCGCCCTATAGTCCGGTGCGCCTTATGTGTGTGTTAAATACAGAAATGGGACACATAACTGAGAGTGCGCCTTTTAGTCCGGTGCGCCTTATGGTCGTGAAAATACGGTATCCTTTATTGTGCTTGAATAGGAGTATTTAGCTCAATTTAATAAAAAAAAAAAAAAAAAAGTGAGAAACGAAACCCATTTGCCTTCACAAGAATGTACCTCTTAAATGGTACGCATGTTTAAATTGATTTATTTTTTACCCATTTGACCTTTATCAGTGCAAGAAGAAAACAAAGGAAACTTTTCAATTATATTTCAAAGAGCAAAACAAAATGCCCATCACTGTTACTGGTATTGGTTTTGTGTGCTTTCTGTAAGTTGACTCCTTACTTATATAATCTACTCAAAGCTCTGCAGGAAAGGCCTCATGATGAATACTTCTTAATTCTAATAAAAAGGATAACTTTTCAAACAATGTACACACAGGAAACCATTATAGAGCTGAAATACGCTTGTGATTTGGCCAATCTAAGGGAAACCATGTCAGTAAAATATTAGTTATTCTGAAAGACAAACATTTATAGAAATTTAGATTATTATATTTCAGAGGTGTCTTTTTATCCCTGTCCAGAGCGATCTTCAAAAGGCCACACAATTTACTAGCATATATTTAAGAAAGAGAGTTGAGTCCCAAAAAAGAAAAGATAAACTTTAAATGAGAAGGTAGACACAGGTATAGGTCATAGAAAAAATTATTACCTTTAGTACTTGGACTTGTCCCTCATTTGTAATGTCCTTTAGAAGATCACAAAATGATCTGCACAACGATTCGCCGTAATTCTGTTGATGAATAAGGTAAATATAAGGAAATCTGATAAACCACATAAAAGGGCTTTTTTCGAGTTGATGTCAGCATGTTTTTCTCCTACCTGTAGGAACTCTGTGGCAGACAAGTATAGGTAGGCATTGATAATCTGAAAACAGGTACGGAGATTCTCGGAGCTCAGCTCTGAAACACAAACATCATCAATGAGATGCTGAGTTTATAAACACACAAAAAAAAAATTTCTTCCTCTGCAGAAATTGGGGGAAAGTAATAGGCTTTTGACCGGACTTTCTATCTGCAGTTAAATATTTGAATGATTTACTAGAACTTCCTAAAAGGTATTCCAGCCCAGGATGATATGATTGTAATTCTTTGGTGTGGCCCAAAAGCACAATGTTTGTTGTAAACTCTAGTTTTTTTCCCCAAGGATTAAGGTCGTTTATTTGGCCTTTCAGAAATATTAACTTTGTTACCCTAAAATAAAAGTGCACTCGGCGACCACTCATTTAATGGAGTCTCCCCTTTTACAAAAAAAAAAAAAGGATCAATTATAAAGCCATGGCATGACACCATAGGAAGATAAACATTCTCATAGCATCAACTCCACTCCATTTTCTGTACTTTATGTTATACCCCATCTCATATTGACCTAAGTATACTGTTCTTGTAAATGGTGGGTGAAAGGACCGATTTTACTGGGGTAAAAAAAAAAAAGAATTTCCTCACTTTATAAACCTAATGCTTCTAATAATTTAAACAAACTCTCAATAAAGATCAGCCTAAATAAAATCCCAGAAGACTGTTTGGTCAGTTTGGTTTTAATTGCTCCACCATACCTAATGATAAATGCACAACTTCAAACAGCTACTAAAACAGCACAGAATCACTGGATGGAACCATGATGCAACAAATTAATAATGTAGCATTAGCTTCACAGGCCTGGAGGGAAGTTAAAGTAGCTCCCTAGCTGTCAAAATAATAAGAGGGTTTAAAATTATCCTTTTGGAGCTGTAAATAAACTAGCAAATGTGTTCTGCTCTCCTTTTGCTGTTCTTTTATCAGAGAACAGCAAAGATAGCTTAAGAAATGTCCCTTTATGAAGCAAAACAAACATGCAACAAGGAATTAATGATCGATTATTAGTCTGAACGTATAAGGCATCAAACTCAGAGGTGCTCAAAGGAGCATGTGAAGAAGTCAGTTAGAAGCCAGTAATAAATGCAGAAGTCAAAACAAAAGAAGTCTTTGAATTTCAAAGGGTTTAAAACTGTAATTTATTTTCTTGCAACCTGATATTTTCATTAGTTACATTGTACATATATTGTTATATTTTGGGTGCATTTAATATTTAGCTTTTATATTTTGATACCCTAAGTTAATGCATATAGCTCTGTCATTGATCAAATGTTAGAAATTTGGTAACACACAGGAATATTTGGCACAAAGTGAGAAATATAACAGGGTCACAAAGATGCCTTCCTTTCAAAATAGAGTTTCAAAATTTGTTTATTTGTTTTTGGTGGTGCCATGCAATTTGTGCAAATTACCTGCAGTTTGGCTTTGGTGTCTGATAAAATAAAAAAAATAGAATTAAGTCAAATTTTGCAGGGCGAGCCATTTCCTCGCTACTGCTCTAGGGCTATTTGCAGCAGAGATTATTGCTGAGTGCAGCTAGATGCAATATGAATTAGGGGTTAAAACAAGGCATGATTTAAAAAAAAAAGGCAGGTGATCATAATTTGATTATTTTCATCTTTTTTAACCCAGACCTGTTACTAGCCAGTCAAAAAATAAACAATTTTAACTTATATTAGCGAACTATATGTACCAAGTACAGTAACACCGTTCCCTTGTCTGAAGGTTGTTACTAAGGAAAAAAACACTGAAAGCTAAACTTTCCCCTTTCAGTCTCAGTTATGTGATTACAAACCTAGAAAATAAACATTTTTATTTGTTTTTAAATAGAAAAACTAATATATTGAGGCTCATGGTTTATTCAGGTTGAAAGAGTGTGAGAGAGAGCAAAGACAAGCAGATAACAAGAATGCTCAACAAAGTATAGGAAAGTAGCTTCTCTTTATAGTTTTAAGCTTTTAACCCACCTATCAGTCAGGAGACAAACTGGACTTAGCAGCATTTTCTGCCTATTGAAAACCTTCCAGCTGTGGTACGGGTCTGGATTCTTTAGGGATTTTAAACTACGACCCTTATTTATCAATAGAAAACATACAATTCTAGTGAAAGCTGACTATGTAAACAGTATAGTGTCTTTGGTTTTTACAGAAGGGCTAAAATATATTATAAATAATTATCTTCTGTCTTGTAGTTCCAAAACGGAAATTTGAATTAGACAAAACTGGTTATTCAGACTTTATCACAAAACAGGGCTGGTGCCTTGCTAAATGAAAAAAACAAAATATTATTTAAAAAAACATCTTTATAGCAATCTGGAAATAAATTAAGATTTACCCTCAAGGGACATCATCACAGAATTACAGAGTATAGTAAATGATGAAGTGCACAGATTTAGCTTTTGGTTGGTTTAGAGTATTTCGTTCTATTGCCTTAGGCTAGTGTGGTACAATGGCTCTACAATAAAAGTTAATTGACTCTTGAACAACCAGTTGTGTAACATCAAAAAGTAGATCATCAGCGTTGTGGGATTTTGCTGTTTACAATTATGTACTGAAAAGGAATCTCTAGTGCCCTTGTATACATTTAAAATGTGTTGGTGTAGAAGGGTAAACAGCTACAGACAATGTTTTAAAACCTGCCATGTTTGTCATGCAAAGGCAGATTTACACCAACCTCATTCTGTCTGGGTGATCAGCAGCTTAAATGATGAGTCAAGTACAGACACTTTGAGGTCCTTGCAAAGGTAATACGAAAAACACAAACAAATCTAAAAGCAATTAATCTAAGCCTCAGATTTAATAGGGTTGAAACCATCATCAAACCTACAGAAAGGCCTGTCACAATAACACACTTTTTTTTTCTGGAAAATTAACTGTCCCGTAAATTATTGCAGTGAAAAAACATATTGTTGTTAGGAAATCTTTAAAAAGTGATATATTAATGGCATTATGATGCGATTACACCTTCAAGGGCAAAAAACTTTAATTTCTAAGGAACCTTCAACATTGGGACTAGAAGAGATCTTGAATATCAACAAAACAACCAAAAACATAGATCAAAATTGATTGTCTTTTGAAAAAATTGCATCTGGAAAAAAAACCAAAACAAAACATAACTAATCCAAAAACCCAAAACACAACCAAAAAAAACCCCCAAAAAAACATTGATAATCAGGCTCAGTGAAGGAAAACAGAATAACTGCCTGTTTTATAAACATAAAAGTGCAAAATAACAACGAATTTTGATTTATAAAAGCTTATCTTTGCTGCCAAACATGCCAAGAAAGGAATGAGCGGCTATTACCCTGAATTTATACTGCATCAAGCTCAGAGGTGCTCAAAGGAGCATGTGAAGATTGTGCAACAGAAGCCAGAAATAAATGCAGGAGTCAAAACAAAAGAAGTCATTCTTTGAATTTCAAAGGGGTTAGAAATGCTTCATTTGTCATTTTTCAGATATTTTCATTAGTTATATTCCAGAATGGGTGAGTAAACAGAGTGAACAGAAGCTATATTTGTTGCTTTTTTGGGTGCATTTAATATTTAGTAGTTCAGTTTTCATAGCCAAAGTTAACACCTTGGCACTTTGGAGCACTAGCTCTGCAAAAAAGGTTTCAAACACCCCGACTCTCCATTTTGCTGCAAGCCTCAATAGGGCCATAAGCCATGATATTACTTTTGGACATCAGGACCATGAATAATAAAACTATTTTGAATGGAAGTTGTTTTGAATTTATTCTGTATGTGTGGACAGTTAACAGTTTGACCATGATTTGAGCTAGAATCACATTTTCTTATAATGTCCAAAAACAAAGCTGGGTTAGTGCATGTTCACAAACAAAATATTATATAACATGAATTACTACTGCATTTAATTGCATGACACCTCAATTTGGCTGAAACTATCCGACATACCAGAGACACAAGCCTCGACACATTCAAGACATTATATGCCCATGCAAGATGTATTAAGGATGTACTGTATATTATTGTTTCATACAATTTTAGGTAAAAGAAACACGTCCAGAATTATCTAAAGATTATTTTCTCTTTATCTAGTTTTTGTCTTAAACAGATCTATTTTGCATTCACAAATCCTCAAACTGATTAATAGTTTAGGATGTAAATATTATGGCTAACTAAACTAGGTTTCTTTTTTTTAAGAAACTTTCTACACTGATTTCTCGTTCGATTTATGGAAGTAAAATAAAAAGCTTACTACTTTCTTGGTAATGGTAGGACATTGTCAATATTTATAGTGTTAAATGCCAGCCTAAGATAAATTAAGTATCAGTAAAAAGCTAAATCAATGCACCATCTCAAAGCGAGGTGTGTCAACATCATTTTTTATAATGAGACATGGATCTGCAATGAAGATTTGATATAGAATTTTTTTTTTTTTTTTTTTTTTTTTAACGGCACTAGTGGCTCGTTTTTTATGAACAGTAGGCTGACAGGAAAGGGGGTATGAGAGAGGGGGAGAGACATGCGGGAAAGGACCACAGGTTGGATTCGAACCCGGGTCGTCCGGGTCTAAAACTAAGGCCTCCACACATGGGTCGATGCCCTTGATACAGAATTTAATTCCTTTACATAAAAACACACTGTAGAAAATTCTTTTTTTTTTTTTTGCATAATGCAATGTTTTCATAAAGCAAACAGTTTATTAAAATGGCCTGTATTTATATAAACTTTATTAGATACAAGGACCCCAAATGGCCTAACACTACATTAAGTCATTCACCCACACATGGATTGACTGAAGTTAGTCATTGCCAAACATATGCAGCTAAGAATATAAAAATTAAGTACAGCAGCTATCATCACGCATTGGGACTTCATTCATCATGTTGAGGACCTGGGTAAATGTTAGGGAGAGAAACAAACATATCCTACATGCTTCCAACTTTAAAGGTGATGAGCTGGACAGGTAGTCTCACCTATGAGTGATTGGTAGCAGGCTTTGCAGAGGACAGACTTTTTGTTCTATGGGTCCGATGATAACTGCTCAGTATAACTTTTTTACTCAAACCAAGCATCCTAAAAATT